AACAGTGTTGCTATTTGACAATCCGATAATTGCCTTAAGTTTAACATGATACATTTTATTATTTTTGTTTTAATTATTTTACAATAAACCTTACACCCGCAAAATTATATTTTGCGTAATTACTGGTGGTGATAGGACCTCTTGTGAGTCCGCACGGGTAGGTACCACCACCCCGCCTATTTCTGCCGTGAAGCAGTAATGCGTTTCGGTTTGAAGGGCGGGGCAGCTGTTGTAACTATACTGAGACTTTAGAACTTACATCTCAAGGTAGGTAGTGGATTTACGTTGTAAATGTCTATGGGCTCCAGTAACCACTTAGCACCAGGTGGGCTGTGAGCTCGTCCACCCATCTAAGCAATAAAAAAAACAGGATACCGTAAATACTTTAGACTACTTATCTCGTGTCTTGTACCCGTCGATCACGTCGGGGTCACCAGTTTGGGAAGATATACGACAAAGGGAAGATCTTCCACCGAGCGGGTGATATTTGCTCGGTAGACCGACGGTCCGAATGTTGTTGTTCGGAACTTGTATATATGCGCTTTATCTTGAAAATGTCGTAAGCGAGATTCAGGCATCTGTCAATTATCTTGCGTTGTATGATGGCTACCCGCCACATGCTCAAACATGCGTTATCATAAGATCGATAATAAAACGGTGACATTATAATTAATCGGTTTTCGTGGCGTGTGATCTCCACCGAAGAAATTACGGCAAAATTCTGTCCGCTATCTAAATTCCACCCGCCAATATATCACGGGGATTTCACTCGGAGACTATTCATCTATATATTAATACGTGAAGCAAAAATTTTGTATCCATTTTACGAAAATTGCGCGGACGGAGGAGTATGAAATTTTCCAAACTTATAGAGAAGGAGTGCAGAATGGTAATTTATTTTTTTAATTATGCATAAAAATACATTAAATCAATAAAGAAAAACATTACACACACTACCATGTATTTGACACACACACGCATGCATACTATTTGTTTATTGTCAAAATGTTCTTATTGCTTATACGAATAGTCTGTGGTCAAATTGAGAATAGATTAAATATTGTTTATCTTTCTTAATATTTGTCTAAAGTATACATAGTCTTAGCTGAATCTGTGATTAAAGAAGTATAATATGTAGTCTTTGAAAATAGTATCATAATAATGTACAAACTTATAATTTCACTTAATTATAGTCGAATTTCAACCACTAGTCTTATACCTTTGAGCGAACAATTCTTGTATATATGTAATCTGAATCTCGGAAACGGCTCCAATGATTTTCATAAAACTTAGTATACAGGGGATTTCGGGGGCGATAAATCGATCTAGCTACGATTTATTTTCAGTAAATGTTGTTTTATTCGTATTTTCGATAATCAACGCTTCCCGACATCTATTGGCGAATATTAATACTATTTTTATTAATTGAGGGCAACTAACCGCTTTAAAGACACAACAAGATGGCGTTATCAAAAAAAAAAACCATCATCTAATTCTATTAATGAGCTAAACGTTAAAACTACGGTTATAATTAAATCGGGAGTGACACTATTAAATTTATGAGCCAAGGAAGATGTTTCTTTTTGTGCATTGATACCTACATTTTTTTTATTAATTTTTCCATCTTTGAAATTTATCAGATTAATTTTTGTATACTATCCTCCGTGCTCATAATAACGTTTCATTCTGTCTTTGAGCTAAACAGTAACCGCTTGTAATCAGGTCGGCTGTGTGCTGATTCGCCTATCTAAAGTATACGTTGCAGAGATTGAAACATATGTTCCACACAGCAAAAGCTCTAAACAAAACTTTAATCCGTTCTAAGTGATTAAAAAACAGCTATTTGTAGTTAATATATTGCCTTACAAATGCATATAAAATTGTTCTTATTTACATATTATAGTTCACTAGCGACCCACCCTCGCTTCGCTTCGGAAGCTGTAATTTATTATTGATTTCTCCACCATTTAATGGATGTTATTATACATAAAAACCTTCCTCTTTAATCACTCTATCTATTAAAAAAAGTCGTATCAAAATCCGTTGCGTAGTTTTAAAGATTTAAGCATACATAGGGATATAGGGACAGAGAAAGCGACTTTGTTTCATACAATGTACCTAGTGATATTTCAAAGCATTGATACATTTCTCCATACAGTGGCGAAGTGGCGACTGATTGAAAGCATCTGCGAAGGCTTACTCGAGTGAAAAACTTATTTTTATTTCACTCAATTAATTCCTCGAACGCCATAATTAAATAAACCCATAAACGACAATTATGGAAAGAATTTCTATAATATATTTTTAATTGAATTTATTGACCGATATAATGTCACGAGGCATCTGTCAAATAAACATTGGTACATATAGTTATGAGGCAATTCAGCCGATACGACCTGAAGACGTGAGAGAAACTTATAAAATAGAAAGAGAAAAAAAACTTTATACACATTGCATTGATTTATTATATTAACTTAACCCGTCGCGCATTAACTTTGATGATTTCGAATCGGCTGACCATAAGTCAGCGTGTTCCTTATTTTTATTTTCAAATATTTATGTGCCTATTTCTGTAATACAAAGTTCAACGAACCCGAAAGCTCACCGTGAAACTTATAGATCTGTTTTATTTCGGGACTAATTTTTCCCCGTTTGGTAATACTACGAGTCGAAGCACGTGATTGCCGTATGGCCGAAACATAGACAGGATGGTGGGAACAAGGGGGCTCACGGCCCACCTGTTGTTAAGTGGTTACCGGAGCCCATAGACATCTACAACGTAAAAACCGCAACCCATCTCGAGATATGAGCTTAATAATAAGGTTAATGGCCTGCATGAGATTTGCCTACTGAAGTAAAAGGTATACAATTTTAAGGCCAAAAGATTGACAATACGTTGACTGATTCAAAATGGAATGGGTTTTTATTGCCCTTGTGAGCAGACGAGCATACGGCCCACCTAATAGTGAGTGGATACCGTCGCCCATGGACTTCAGCAATACTAGGGGCAGAGACAAGCCGCTGCCTACCTAATAGAAAGCAATTCGGTAATGAATAACTGACATCCGCTTGTGACGTCACGTCGTAAAGAAACACGCGTGCGAGAGAGACAACTAAGATACTCCAAGCTCCCATTACGTTCTATCTCAAAGTTCTGATTACTGTCCTTGACCAACACTTTCAAAGGGGGTTTTCCAATAAATAAAAAAATGATGAATAAAGAATGAGGTCGAGTGTGATGCGGATGCTACCTTGAGACATGAGCTTGAGGTTGTGATAGCGTGTTTTGATAATTTCGAAATAAATATAAAAAGTATGCACGAATAAGTTCTAAGAATTGTTTGAGGAAAACCCGCAAACAGTTAATTGTCAACGGGTAATCTAACCTAAGTGTTTGTATTTAGAGTTCAAAACACCTTGACCGCGGCTATTGTCAGATTCGTTTTCGATAGATTAGTGTATTTAAAAATTTAACAATCAATCGCAATTCCAGATGGAATATTTTAAAAATTAAAAAAAAAAGTTTCATTTTGGGGTTCCGTTGAGAATAAATTATATACTAAATATAAATAGTATTTTTTTTACAGCTTTCTAGATTTAATTATTATTAAAATATAAAAAAATTACTATGTATATTCATTAATAATAAAATGAATTATATTTAATTATGTATAAATTATGCAACCAACTCTAACAATGAACCTAAAACTAAAAACCATAAAAAAAAATTAAAATATATTATTAAAAGGAGTCCCTTTAGGCAAGGTACTGACATTTTTTTTTATTTTTTTTATTGCCGTATAGGCAGACGAGCATACGGCCCACCAGATGGAGAGTGGTTACCGTCGCTCGTGGACGTCAGCAATGCCAGGGGCAGAGCCAAGCCGCTGCCTACCGTTTAATACTCTCCACAAACCTCGTTTGAAGAAGGACATGTCATAGCGCTCGGGAAACACCGTGGAGGGGAGCTCATTCCATTGCCGGATTGAATAGATGATTGATAGCATTGAATACCTAGACTAATTCTCTGTCCAAGGTAGCCTCCAGCCCTTCGGTCTAAATCTCTATAAACTAATACTAAAAAGTCTAAATCTCGTCGTCTGTCTATCCTCCTGCGTGAGGCACATACCGGCGATTTGACCCGGAGACTATTCCCATACCACAATTCACCACACATTATAACTGTATCGAAAATGCGAATTGTAAATAGCTTGACTCTACAAAATATGTTCACCACATACAAGCATATCACATATGTTTATATGTGTGTAAAAGGACTATACATATATGTATATCCACATAATATATAAGCAAATCGGACATGTTTATATATTTTTAAAAGGACTATACGTCAATGTGTATTTATTAGGTTATTTTTTAATGATAAATGCCTTTTTTTTTTATTGCTTAGATGGGTGGACGAGCTCACAGCCCACCTGGTGTTAAGTGGTTACTGGAGCCCATAGACATCTACAACGTAAATGCGCCACCCACCTTGAGATATAAGTTCGAAAGTCTCAAGTATAGTTACAACGGCTGTCCCACCCTTCAAACCGAAACGCATACTGCTTCACCGCAGAAATAAGCAGGGTGGTGGTACCTACCCGCGCGGACTCTCAAGAGGTCCTACCACCAGTAAAGATAAGGCTTAATAAGCTAGTAATTTTTTTACTATCAGAAATTAATTTCGATCGACTACTTTCTTTTTCAGTAACAGGCAACTTTGCTTTGCTAGGCTATGCTTTCGGTATTGCTGATGTCCTTGAGCGATTGTGAACACTCACCATCAGGTCTTTACTGGTGGTAGGACCTCTTATGAACTGGTGGTAGGACCTCTTATGAGTTCGCGCGGGTGGGTACCACCGCCCTGCTTATTTCTGCCGTGAAGCAGTAATACGTTTCGGTTTGAAGGGTGGGGCAGTCGTTGTAACTATACCGAGATCTTAGAACTTATATCTCAGAGTGTGGCGCGAGCCTCCGACATGTTAACATCGTTTCCGCGTAGCTCCGTACTAAAAAATCCGATAAAATAGGAAAAAGTCAACGTATCTCTATGACCAAGGTGTCAAAGGACTTATCTCGTTGAGCTCCATATAGTGAAGTGTAGTGCAGTACCGGATTAGTGTTGGAAAGTGTTTTAGTGTGAATAATTAGCTTTTTTGAGGTTAACACTCAAAAAACATCCACTGAATCACTCACAGCCCGAGATCCACAAAAGCCACAGAGTCGAGCGATACGTCATTATTCGCGCCTCGGCAGGACCAGTCTACAGGTGCTTTTATGGAAATTCTACGACCTCCCACTCTGGAATAAGGAGACAAAAACCGAAAACCACGTGGCCACGTGGTCCGGGAACGCGACGCTCCACAGACTTCGTTCAAGGTTTGGATGCTGCAGCTTGAATAAAGAAGAGGTTTGGTGCAATTTCTAGAAAATGTTGACAATAACTTTTATAGTTATAAGAATTAGAAATTTAAAACTTTGAACCTGTATATCTCTAAAAGTAGATCGATAACATATATTTTTCAAGAAGCTCTGCGTTGCGCGTAAACTTGATTTACATAACGAAATTCTAAAAAAAAAAAAAAAAAACAGGGGGTGGGGGAAGCGGTTTTGGGCCTTGAACGAGTCTCCTTGTTTTCGGCAGGGAATATTGGTTTTCAGGAGTTTTTAAGAGAAAACTTTTTTCTGTTTAAACCACTGTCACAATATAGTCTTTATACGCCCTATATTGGCATACGAAACCGCGAGCTCAAGTGGTTAAAGTCGGACTTTGACGGCCATTTTGATCTTCTTTAGGCTGTCATATCCCCGGATCCCGAGGGTCGCAGAAGATCGCGGTTTTCAGCATAGAGGTAGATCTGAAACTCTATACACGGTTTTATAGCGGAGACGTCTGATGAAGCATACCCCCAACTAGAATAAACAACCTCTCAATCACTACACCACATCATCCCAGAGCCGAGCAAATCACGTAGCAAGATGTCTTCCAAATCAACTTCGAGCGTAAAAGGCAACACCAGAGCTGACCCGAAAACAGGGACGCGAGGAACTGATCGTGTCCTCAAAATATCTCGTCTGGAAGCACCCGACATGGTAATGAGGGAGGAGAAGAGGAAGAAAACCCAAGCTCCTCTGCCCAACACCGAAAAAGGGGACACTCCGGTCAGCCTAGCCACTATCCTAATAACCCCCTCAGACGCTGGCACTGGACATGCCGGTGACACAAAGGAGAAACACCCCTTGACCGTAGCAGAAACACAAGAAGCACAACAGTTACGGGGTGGAGCTGCATCATTAAGAATCAAAACGCAATTAAGGCAGGCCAGTGTAGCTGAAGAAATGTCGGCTCTAACCACCTCAGACTGCCTCGAAGACCTTGAGGACAGAAAAAGCACGGACGGCCGATTTTCACTCAACAACTCATCAAGCGCTGGACCAAACAGGTTAATGAATGGGCTTCCAAAACGAGCAAACGAAATACTACAGGAGGCCAAGGCAGAGTTGGAGAGATCGGGAAACCTCAAAAGGGAGATAAGAGAAAATGTGGTCGCATCCCTTCAAGAGTTGTATGAGATGGTACTAAGACTAGCCGACTCACGCATTTTACTCATGCTCGAGGCCCATAGAACCAAACCAAATGAAACGAAAAACATTGACAGAATCAGAGCCAAGCACACAAACGAGTTGAAAGATGCCCTCAACAAATATGAAGAACTGGATGGCCATATTCTAACACTCAACAAAGACACGGAAATGGTACGACAAATAATCCTGAGAGACGTTCATGATGAATTAGCAAAGGTTAGACAGAACCAGGAAAACTCCTCTAAGGAAATTAAGAATACCCTAACAGAGTTAAATACCCAAGTACAGAACATAAATAGTCAGATCACGAACATCCAAATGCATATTGGGACAAATACAGCAAATACTCTACCCGAATTGGAGGAAGTGAACAGGCGAATACAGGAAGTCCAAGACACCCTACTTCACTTTACACAGGTACCGAAAAAATCGACGGAGGAAAGACAAGATAAAACTCCAATTGAAACCTCATACCTGAGAGACACCATACAGAAGTCGGTCGAAACCGCCCTTGAAATTAGTGAACTAGGGGTAATCAAGGAACTCTGCAGCGATACCAATCAAAAGATGGCCGAAACCAAGGATAACACTGCAACTCTCCTGGGACGGACCAACAAAGATGAAGAAATGGGAAGAGCTCTAAAATCAGAAATAACAAAAATCAAGGACGACATAGCAGATCTAAGAGATGTGTCAGTGGAAGCAGTGGCCCCCATCCGTACGGCCATTGAAGAGATAAGAGGAGAAATTAAAACATCAGAGAGACGATCAAATAGGATACCAGAAAATGTGGAAGGACAAAGAAAGAGTAAAATCCCGTCAAGAGTACCACCAACTGATCCAAATTGGCCAATAGTACTTGAATCAGTAGATCCCCGCTCAACCAGCGACGATATCATAAAAAACGTTAAAGGCAAAGTAGACCCTGTCGCACTAGGAATAGCTATCAATGGAATCAGGAAGATCCGAAACCAGAAGGCCATAGTCTGCTGTGATTCTGAGAAGGATCGCAAAGCCTTTTGCCAGGCTCTCAAGAACGCAGAACCCAAGCTGTCAGCCAAGATCCCCAGCACCAAAAACCCACTACTAAAACTCCCAGGGGTAGCTAATGACATGACCAACAGCCAGATAGAAGAAGCAGNACTAGGAATAGCTATCAATGGAATCAGGAAGATCCGAAACCAGAAGGCCATAGTCTGCTGTGATTCTGAGAAGGATCGCAAAGCCTTTTGCCAGGCTCTCAAGAACGCAGAACCCAAGCTGTCAGCCAAGATCCCCAGCACCAAAAACCCACTACTAAAACTCCCAGGGGTAGCTAATGACATGACCAACAGCCAGATAACAGCCAGATAGAAGAAGCAGTCATTAAGCTGAACAAAAGACTTTTGGTGGAGGTGGAAAACAAAGATCTCAAGGTCAAGGTGCAGCGAAGAACAAAGGGAAGGAACTCACTGGTGGCCAACGTAATTTTGGAAGTCAACTACAAGATATGGACCAGACTAAAAGATCTACGCTTAAAAATAGGCTATCAAGTGGTGTCAGCTACAGATCACTCCCCAATCAGACAATGTTACAACTGCCTAGGATTCGGTCATTTGGCTCGAGATTGCAACCAAGAATCCAACAAGTGTGGATACTGCGCACAACAATACGATAGCAGAATCTGTGCAAACAAGAATGGCCCACCAACTTGCGCTAATTGCAAAAAAGAAACAGGTATGGCCACTGCACACCCAGCCTACAGTAGGGAATGTCCGATTTGGCAATTTTCTTTCTTTAAGTAATATAATAGTTTCGGTAGATAGTATGGATTTATTATTTGTAGACACTTTTCGAGCAACAGTTTTGAGAGTATTTACAAAATAGCAGTATGTCGTCTCAATTGCTTTATTGTATTCCTTTTGTTCTTTTCTCTCTAGAAATTCTTTTAAATTGTTCATTATCTCTAAGTTATTTTTAATGTCCACATAGGGAGTCAATCCAGTTTGCAGCTTTCGACTTTTCTTTGTATGTGACGCTCGTAACGTTGCACGTATCATTTTATGGTCCGAATTAAAATTTAAATTATGTAAAACTGACAGATCTTTAAAAACTTTTGGTTTATTGGTCATAATGTAGTCGATTTCATTTTTAAAGAGTCCATTTGGGGAAGTCCACGTCCATTTCTTATTCTTTTTCTTTTTAAAGAAACTATTCAAGATACTTAGTTTGTTTTCTAAACCGAAGTTAACCAAATGTTGTCCGTTTTTGCTCCTATTGCCATTGCCATATCTTCCTACAGTGTACTCTTCGCCACTACGACATTCCCCAATTTGTCCATTAAAATCACCCATTATTATTATATTTTTGTGAGCAGTATCAACAGTACTTTGTAATTTTTGGTAGAATTCCTCTATTTTGTTTGTGTCTTGTTTTTTATCTGCTTCAGTTGGCGAGTAAACCTGAATAATTGACCATAATTCGTCTCTGCTATTTTGTACGGGAAATTTGACGTTGAGTATTGCTATTCTTTAGGATATGCCCTTCAATTCCTCGATTCGGTCCGTATATTTTCTTTTTATCAAAAAACCAACTCCGTATTGTCCTCGTGTTTCTCCTTTATAATGCAGTATATACTTTCCGTGGTCTTCTATGCCTTCTCCCATTCTTCTCACTTCACTTAATCCAATAATATCCCAATTTATTTCATCAATTGCTGTTTCTAGTTCGATGAGTTTCTCTGGGGTTCTTAGTGATCGTGTGTTAAGCGTCGCTATGTGTATGTCGCAATTATTATTCCTTTTTTGGTTCTATCCTTAGAGGGTGCTGGTCGTTTTCTCCCACAATGACCAGTCGGCTTGGGAGAGAGTGTAGTTTTTCTATTGTATGTATTTTTGATTCTTTTTTTTGTTGTATTTTCCGATTGCCGGGGATTGGTTGCTACTGTTGCTTGTTTGTAAGGACGTTAGTAAGAGAGTTAGATCTCATTCTCATCACGTCAAATGCGTTGGCTCTATTGGCCTTAGAGGGTACGGTGGCTTGCTGTTTTTTAGGTTGAAAGTCTGAAGAATGCGGTGAAGAAGAAGTTTCCTTTTTTCTTTTTTCGTTAGTTGTGTCCATTTCCTTCACTATAAGCTTATCATATTTCAAATACGCTATTTTACCCTTCTTCCTTTCTTCAATCAACTCCGCCTGTAACACCTTCCTTTTGGCCAGTACATTCTTTGGATAATCTTCGGTGACATATATCTCCTTAAGATATTTTTTATTTTTTACTATCTCATTCTTTTTCCATCCGTTTNTTTTGGACTGTCAGACAAAACAGGCTGTACACAAGTATAATAGATATAACGGCATGCAGTGACGGACTTCTCAACTCAATATCAGATTGGAAAGTAGATGAGAATCTAATCACCACCTCCGATCATCGCTCAATCACGTTCAGCGTCGACCTTACCGGGAACAGAGGTTCTCAGAAAGGAAATCTTACCACTACAAAGAAATACAATACTAATAAAGCAAACTGGCCTAAATTCAAAAATAAACTACTAGAGCAATTCTCTGAACGAAATATCACAGTTGAAACCATCGCCTCAAAAACTGACAACGAAGAGTTCAACAAAATGGTAGAGGACTACGCGGGATGCATTGCGGTAGCTTGTGATTCCGCGATACCTCTGATTGACCATAGTAAAAATCAATGTAGGCTATCCTGGTGGACCAAAGAACTAACCGAACTTAAAAATGAGGTTAAAAGAATCAGAAGCAAGATTAGGAAGGCAAACCCTAGAAGAAGGCCGCTTCTGATAAAAGATTATCAAGAAAGGTTAAAAGAATATAAACACACAATAATCACAACGAGGACCACCAGTTGGAAAGATTATACATCACGACAGAAGAGAGAATCGATGTGGGATAAATTCTACCGCATTATACGTACTAATAATAGAAGCAGAGATGAGGTGATGCTCAAGAAAGGGAATGACGTCCTCGATCCCCTCAAATCCGCAGAACTACTAGCTGATACATTCTATCCTAAGGACAATAAAGATATCGAAAACGAAGAACATCACCGCATACGAGAGGAGATAGCTGCATGGAGGAAGAAAATGATCGAAGAGAAGGACCCAGCATTTAAAGAAAAGCCGTTCACACCGAAAGAAATACAAACGGTAATCGAAAATATGAGCCCGAAAAAGGCTCCAGGCTATGATGGCTTCACATCAGACATTTGCATCAAGGCGATAGAAGCAAACACAACTATATTCCTCACCATCCTGAATCAATGTCTGACCCTCACAATCTTCCCGAAGATTTGGAAGCAAGCCACCATAAGGATCCTCAGGAAACCAGGGAAAGAATCATATATTACTCCCAAATCATATAGACCTATAGGCCTGCTTCCAGTACTGGGCAAGGTTTTTGAGAAGGCCCTAGTCAACCGTCTCCAGTGGACCCTGGGAAATGGAAACCACCTCAGTAATAGGCAATACGGCTTTCGACCCCAAAAAAGCACTGAGGATGCGCTATACAGACTCACGAACCTGGTGACCCAAAATGTGAACCAACACAAAAAAATTGTGGCTATGGTGAGCTTGGACATTGAAGGGGCGTTTGACAACACCTGGTGGCCAGCGATAATGAAACGACTAAAGGAGGTCCAAATCAACCCGCAAATCTGGCTGGTCATCGATGACTATTTGCGTGATCGAAAAATCAACCTCCAGTATGCGGGATGTACAGTAATCCGATACACAGAAAGGGGCTGCATCCAAGGCTCCACTTGTGGCCCTTTGATGTGGAACCTGCAGCTGGATCCACTCCTGGCCGAAGTGAAACATCTGGACGCACACATACAGGCCTTCGCGGACGATATTGTCATTGTAGCATCAGCGGACTGTACTACCGAGCTGAACGACAAAGTCAACACAGCTCTGGAAAAGATAGCCAACTGGGGAAGGACCAACAAAATGAAGTTTGCCGATCACAAAACACAAGCTGTCATTTTTACGAAGAAACTAAAATACGACCAGCCTAGTTTCTACCTTAACAACACTCCGATCAAATTGGCCGATAAGATGACAATCCTGGGTTTAACCTATGACAGAAATCTAAACTTTAGACCCCATCTGGAACGAATCACAGGAAAAGCCCTAAATATCTATAAGGCAATAGCCCAAGCGGCAAAAGCAACTTGGGGACTGAACCCCGACATCATAAGAATTATATACACGGCAGTCATAGAGCCCATTATGCTATACGCAGCAAGTTCATGGGCAATCGCTACGAACAGAGAGTACATTAGGCGTAAACTAGACAATCTCTCCCGGATATTCGCCATCAAAATATCGAAAGCTCACAGGACAGCCTCATATACATCAGTGCTCCTTTTGGGAAGAATCCTACCGCTCGACCTCCGGATAGCGGAGGCTGCTGAGCTATACAAAATCAAAAATGGCTCGCCGATCCCCATGCTACCAGGTAGACCTATAGAAAAGAGAACAAGCATATATAGACTACCCCATCCAGCCAGTAGATATGACCTACACTTCAAGATATTACAAACCCAAGAAGAGCTGATAGAGGTAACAAACAAAACCCCGACCATTTATACCGACGGGAGTAAACTAGAAGGACGAGTCGGTAGAGCTGCAACTTGGTGGGAACAGGGGGAAGAGAGGAAATCCAAAAGCTTCCGTTTAAACCCGTACAACTCAGTCTTCCAGGCGGAAATAGTCGCAATACAAGAAGCACTAATGATGATAGCAAAATCACAACATAAAGTAGTCAACATCATTAGTGACTCGACATTAGTGACTCGACTTAACACCAACACTACTCACCCATTAATCTTCAATATACAAACCACCATGAGGAACTTGGCCAGTATGAACAAGACAGCAAACCTGTTCTGGATAAAGGCCCACGCCGGGATACCAGGCAATGAAAGAGCTGACGAACTAGCAAAAAAGCAGCCTTAACTAACAAACAGGCACCAAAATACGATGGAGTCCCACTATCATATGTACGACACACACTAAGGCAAACCACCATAGACAAATGGCAACAAAGATATACTGAGGCAACGACGGGAATGACTACAAAGATGTTCTTTGTAGATGTTCGCCGCGCCCACAAGATACTTAGTAAAATGAAAGTTAACAACATCATAGCACAGCTCTTAACTGGCCACGGTGGGTTCGGCGAATATCTATTTAGGTTCAAACTCAAAAGCAATCCCTACTGTGAGTGTGATGGCGGGGTCTGTGAAACTGTCCTCCACATTCTAACAGAATGTCCTAGGTTCGGATTTAGACGCATAGAAACAGAACAGATCTTGGACTTTGCCATGGACACTCAAAACTTCCCCAGTATTATCGAGGACGACAGTGCTAGAGAAGCGTTCCTGAAATTCGCTATAAACAGTATAAAAATTGCCAACAACAGAAATAATAGTATAATGAAATACGCTATAGATTAATAATGAATGAAGAATGTGATGATAACGTAAACGTCTCTGTCCGGGGACCTGGACTTGGGACCCATAAATGTTACTTTAAGTTTAATTCTAATTTTATTCTAATTTTAATTCTAATTGATTGTAATTCAATTTTTGATAAAAAAAATTATTCCATATAATTAAAAATATATATATATAATAATAATATTAATAATAATATTTTCCATGTATGTGTACTGTAATAATAATAATAAAAAAAAAAAAAAAAAAATATAATAATAATTATAATAATTATAGTAATCGCTAGAATGATGACTAACACAGGGATAAAGGTTGTCCCGTAGTGAAAGGGGACAGATAACCAGGAGGGAGGTTTTAGTCCGTAGGTCACTGAGACACTTCCTCAGTGGAGTCGGGCATGCCCTTTGGCCCGGGCCCTTGGGTATCCATGAGGATTTCCTCCCGCCCACGAAAAAAAAAAAAAAAAAAAAAAAAAAAACTCATATCTCAAAGGCGGGTGGGCGCATTTACGTTGTAGATGTCTATGGGCTCCAGTAACCACTTAACACCAGGGGGGCTGTGAGCTCGTCCATCGCCCATCTAAGCAAAAAATAAAATAAAAAATGGCCACCACTATGTCAAGAGTGACGGCTCTAGAAAATCTAGTATAATTACTTATAGGTTGAATAGATTCAGAATGTTTCATGAGTCCTCTATTAGCACTGATGTAAACATTATGATGAAAAGTTATCATAGCTATTGATAGCCTTTAATTTTTTATTGTCTTCGCAATGAAATATATAGCCCAATTGACGGGTGGCTGGCCGCAATGTCAGCAACGCTTTTTTTCTTCATTGTACACGGTTGATGTGATATCGAAATATGTAGATTAATGAGCTATATCGCATACTGCCGATAAGAAACTCAAACGTTAGAGCACTTAAACTAAAATGTTGAATCATCAAAAATACTCATTTAATATTTTGTATGTTAAGAAGTCTTTGTAGTACGCGAACAGAAATATGTAAATGCGAGAAAAAAAAAACAAAAAAAAACTTTCATTCATTCTCGATTCGGGTGACAACACGTGAAGAATAAATTTGATGGACGATCTTTTTATTTCTGCTTTTTTTCTCTTTCTTTTTAATATCACTTCAAAATCTATTAGTAACAAGAGCTCAATTCGCTGCGAAGGTATTTTATCAGATAAATAATCTGTACCTACATTAGGCACATTATCAATTTCTCTGAAGTGCCAAAACAAAACGTGTTATCTCTTCAAACGAGAAGGGTCTAAATGAAGAGATGTATTCATTTCGGAGCTACAACTATTGAGAGAATATAATTTTCATCATTCATTCGGGAAGCGTGGATCGAAATGGCCCTTGACGCTTAGACGGGCGTCGCAGGTTCGCTACTACCGGACACATGTGATTGTGATGTAGCTTCGACGATTTTGTTACCGTTTAAATGTAAATGGAGATTTCATGTGTTAGATACTGCTCTTACTGTATCTTAATATTTTCCAGAATTTCTGTAAATTAAACCGTTGTTGATGTTTTTTTTTATGATTGAAAGATTACTGGTGGCCCGGAGGCCTTTCTAGTTTCACCAGGACAGATGGGCGAGCAAAGGCTCAGCCAGGAGGGGTGGGATTTGCCATGCCAACAACTGCCCGAGCGCCTCCGAAGGAGACCTAACCAACTCAAGAGCAATTGCTTCGGAATCGCGACCCGCTGAGAAGATCTGGCGAGGAGCACAGCGGGCTGATGCATGGGTTAGGTAGCACGTCGACCTCTTTTTCGGGTTCGACGAGTACGGTT